ATAAATAAATAAAAAACCAAGGCAGGGGTCAGATGGGCAGCAGGAAAGACAAGTTTTGCCCATTGACAGTTGGTCTACTTCAGTCTCTTTCAGCCCCTATTTCCTTAAGAATAAGCAAGGGACCTACTGTGCAGCAGACAGAACCTGTTATTAGTGATGTACTTACTGTCTGGAATGGCCTCTTACTTTGTCCCTCTAGAGTATTTCTTTGGAAAAAAAATTTTTTTTTCATGCTCCTTCACGTCTTCTTGACCACTCACTTCTAAGGATCACCCTGGACCTGAGGGTTCTCCAACTCCTGGCTATTGGGTACCTGTTTTGTCCCTTTCTCCATCCTCTGTACCACTGAGCTCTCAGTATGCTTTGGGCCTAGTCCACTAAGGCTATGGATAAAGATCTATAAGCAAGTCAAAGAATAGGAGTCTGTTTGATTGTAACAAAACCACCACTTAATACTTGAAATAAAGCAACAAGCTGAATGGTTCGCTTCCACAGCAAGGTGGAGCTCTGCTGGTTCCAATTAGTGTCTCTGAGCAGAATAGAGTTGACTTCCTAGAGATTGTGGTACAGAGGGTTGGAGACCTTTCAGAGGCACACATGACTGGTATGTTCAGTAGACATATAGTTGCTGCCTGAGCTATCTACATGCAGAGGTATGTTTGCTGAAGTTATCCAGTCTTTTGAGTGTCTGACCTGCAGATGTGTTGGTCAGCTTTGAAGGTGTATCACTAGGGCAAGTTGTCCTTGACTACTTGAATAGATGTAAAACTGGTTCTGGAGTCTACTCTTCTTTTATGGCTTGTGGGACTCTAATCTCAGGTATAACCTGTGTATCTGTTCCTTTAGCTGTTAAAAGAAAGTCTGCCTTCTGCTTTTTGTGATGCACGAGGGTGATCAGCTGCTTCAAGATGAATGTGGCACATCTCCTTCCCAGCCACAGGCTGCCACTTACTCATTGAAGCAGATCATGAATAAAAACTTCAGATCCTTTATGAGAGTCATATGACTACAGAAATCGCTGCTGATGTCTGGGTGAAGAAAGGAGGCCCACATCAGCATTGGGATGACAACAAGTTTTTCCCAGGTAGCACACATCTTGTCCATGGCCATATCCACCTGCTACAGAGTAAAGGGGATTCCTTTAGATACCAAGAAGCAGAGAAAGAAGGAACAAATCTGTTCCGAGCTTCATTTTGGATGCCAACCAGAATATTCTCATCTGCTTATTATAAAACAGAAAAAAAGTCCAGGAGGAAATATTAGATCAATTGATACTAATATGCCTCATCATTTGGGGCCCCAAAGAGCTGGCAGAATTCATAAACTTTTTAGTGTCTCACGACAACATGATGTTTAGAAATAGGTCATCAGAAAAGTAGGGAACCAAGGACCAGAAAACCCCAAATTCAGCATCTTGTTACCAGGTCTTCCACAACACAGTCTGTTTACATTACTCTAAAGAGAGCAGACTGAAGAAACAAAGAAACTGCAGAAATAGGCTAAATATTTGACTAGGAGAGTGAAGAAGGCAAAACCCAAATCAAATCAAAACAAACAAACAAACAAAGAAAAACAAACCACCAGGGGCATATTGACAGGAGTCAGGGGTGGTTCTCTGAGAGCATCCGTCTCTGAGTCTCAGTTCTGTCAAGCAAGAAGGTTTCCTAAGAATAACAAGTTCACTAGCTCAAACGACAGCAAAACCAAAACAAAGCAGAGCAATCAAAACGACCATCTGGCAAAGACTCAGATCAAGGGAGAAATCCAGAGTCCTGTTTACTCTAAAAGCACTTCAGGTAGCTAGGATATGTAAATCCAGGAGTTTCTGAGCCAGGTGTGGTGGTGTGCACTTATAAATTCCAGCACTTAGGAATTCGAGGCAGGAGAATCTCAAGTTCAAGGCTAACTGGAGTTACATAGTGAGACCCTGCCTCTACAACAAAAGAAAATGAAATACAGGAGTTTCTTGACCATTATAAGCAATTCTGCTTGAGAGAGAGAAATAGGAAACCTTTCCCATCTATCAGGGATTCCAACATACCAGGTGCTGCGGGAAGTCAGAAGCCACCAGCAATGGTCCTGGGAGACCAGAGTCTTGGACATCTTACTAGGTGTGCAGCGAAAATCAGATACTTATAACACAACCATGTAGCACCAGGATGAAAGAAGGAAGCATAATGTGATTCAGAAAATGACTGTGAAATTACTTCTGGATAGGGTTGTTGTGAGGGGAGTGGGAAATTACCTGTGGATAGGTGAGATAACGCTGGCCTAAGGAGCCCAGTAGAGGGCAGCAGAGTGCTGTGGCTAAAGACACAGGGTCTGTGACAGACAGCCTGTTTCAACCTCAGCTTCTGCCCCTAGGCTGAGGTTAGTCAAAACCTTTCTGGGCTCTAAACCTCACATCTGTAAAATGGAAATGATAATAGTATGGATAACACAGGTATATAGTGGATAATTTCACATGTACTTGACATATTTGTGATAGTCCATATTAGCTAGTATTATCTGGTGAACCAACTTATTATCCATGGTATTTTTGGAGGGGTTGGCCACCCTCACACATGTGCAATGAAGGATGGATGTGTTTGGAGGGCAAAGGAAGTCACTAAGCAAAACCTGGCCAATGCTACTCATCAAGGTGAGCTGAGGTGTGAGTGACTATGGGAAGATAGGGACATGTGACACATCAGGCTGGGGACCAACTGCCCGTGTCCTCCAGCTTAACCTTTATCTAGTCCATCATAAAAATATTTAAATGTGACAAATACAAATAACATAAAATTTTCCATCCAACCATTTTAAGTGTGGAGCTAAGTGGCATTGGTTACTGTCTTATCATTGAGAGCTGAGGATGGAGGCAGGGCCAGACTATAACCCTTAAAGGCCCACCAATGATCTCCCCAATGATCTACCTCTAGAGCCATGTCTCCCACCCCAGAGGTTCCATAACCTCCAAAAACAAGGCCACGAACTAGGGACCAAATGGTCAAACACATGAGCCAGAGGGGGACATTTTGCACTCAAACCATAGCAAGCACCATCTCCAGCACTCCCCATTATTTCTATTTCCTTAAGGATGGTTGGTTATTGTTGTATTGTTGAGTTTTTATTGGGGAGAAAAAAAAACAGTTTCCTGTTTTCTGTGTAACTATCAAATGTAGGAAAATGTAAACTAAATCACCTGGGAAAGGTCATCTCTTATTATAAAAGTGGAGAATTACTATGTAACAAAGGAGTGTGTGTGTTTGTGCATAAATGTGTGTATGTGTATGTCTGTGTACATATACATATGTGTGTATATGTATGCATGAATGTTTGAGTGTAAGTGTAAGCATGTGTATCTTTATGTGTATGTATGTTTATACACGTATGTGTGTGTACTCTTGTGTGTATGTGCATGCACATTTTATGTATGTGTTTGTATTTGTGTGCAAGTGTGTATGTGTGTGGTGTGTGTGTTTGTGTGTAGATGTGTGTGTGTTAATTATTCACACTCATTGATGGTGCCTGTGGACTTTTGTTCTTATTTTTGTTTGTTTTATTTTGTTTTGTTGAGACAGGGCCTCCCTACAACCCTGACTGACCTGGAACTCACCAATTTTACAGAGATCTGCCTGCCTCTGCCTCCTGAATCCTGGGATTAAAGGTGTGTGCAACCACACCCAGGTGCCTGTGGACTTTTAAGTGTGCCTTGCCCAACTTGGGCCTCAGGCCAGTAAGTGATGCCACTGTTGTAAACAGAGCAAAGTGGAGGTGAACAAAGGAGGAGAATGAATCTGTCTGCCCCCTGGGAACAGGCCCCACAGGGAACGGCCTGGGAACACCATTGGGGAGAGCAGCTCACCTCCCCAGAGAACCAGGATGCTGGGAGCTGTGTTCCCAGGTCCTTCTCCAGATGGCAGGATCGTGCTGTTCCGGATCTTCATCTCTAATCACTACTTTAGGAACACACTGTCTCCTGAGTGTGCCTGCAGAAGTAGATGTGATCATTGTTTCAGTTTCCTTGCTTGTTCAGAAAATATCTACTTAAAATGCTGGTGGTAGTAACAGTAGGAAGCATGTGTTGTGTGATGGCTTGTTCTAAGGGTTTTCCTCTTCGGTTTTTTGTTAGTATATTTAATACCAGGTCCATAGAGGCGGGTATTACTATCATTCTCTGGGCACAAATGAGGGAACTGAGGGGCCCCCCACACCTCCACCTGGAGGAGCTATTCAAACTTGATGACTGCTAAGGAAAGGAGAGTCACTTTTCTTTGGGGGTAGTCATTGGCAGGTTGCCCACACCCCAGTGGATGACCCCATATCCACATGCATATGGGTAGCACTAATTAGACTTAGGAAGTAATGAATAACAGCAACAAAAAAGGAAGACAAAGTTGGAAGAGAGACAGGTTGGGGACTCTAGGGGGAGTTGGAGGGAGGTAGTGATGGATGAATGTGATCAAAATATGTTGTATTAATATATGCAGTTTTCAAAGAATAAGTAAAAAATGGTATTTGAAAAGAAAGGGGAAAATATCAAGTAAGGAAACTGATGAGTGGAGGGGTGCCGAAGCCCCACCTGAGGGTCTAGCTAGGAAGCATGAGTTGGGTCGTCAGGCTCCAGGCCTGTGCACCCCATCACTATGAATACTGAATACTTCCTTCATCTCCAAGAGGCTGACAGGTGCCTAGAACATTCACTCTGACAGTACGGCAAGGTGCATGAACAATACAGATGATGTAATTATCTGAGCATACCATATTTGCATGACATCCATATGTTAAGACGATATAATATCCAATATATGACACCAATTTATAAGTCATTTCTTTTTAGTGGAGTTACTGACTAAGGCAGTGACTGATTTGGTAAGATGGAGTTTTAGCTAGAACTCTTATTTTATTTGGAAATAGGCTCTTAGGTATCCTAGGCTAGGCTTAAATTTCTAATCCTCTTGCCTCCACTTGATTAAAGAATTAGCCTGATTCTTGGCATTAAGTTTTTTTTTTCTTCATGTCAGACACATAATGTGCCAACATATAACAAGGTTTGAGGGAGGCACATGTCATGAAACTGTGTGAACACCCAATCATCAGGCTCATGAACCAAAAAAAAAGATCAGCATTAAGTTTTAGTAGTAAGAACAGACCCAAACTTTGTTCCTTCAGATCTTGCACAGAACTGTGAAGCTGGGCTTCACTCACACTTTTATTCAAACAGTATCTCCAGCATCAACTGGAAAGCTACAATCTTGGATGGACTCTTATCAGTGACTCTCACCCTTTGATCCCTAGGCTTAAAATAACTCACACACACAAAGTCGAACATTTCCCTCAATTATTCTCACTGCTGCCAATGAGGATGTGAAGATGCATACACTGCTTCCAGAGCTTTGAGATGTGAATTCAAGCAAAACCACATTCATTCATTATCTTGGATAAAGGACAAAGTGGGGTTCTGAGGGATCAAGGCCAGGTGGCCAGGTGGCCAGGTCACAAGAGCACATGACTGTTTGTTTGCTGTGGGGAGCCGCCTGCCGTCCCTGCAGACGCCATTACAAGATGGCGCTCACATCCAGTTCATGCTGAGCAGTGAATGGGTCAGTGCGCATGCCCGAAGTAATTTTCCACCTTCTAGTCTCTGCCTACCTCGTGGCGTGATATGGGCTGATGAGTTTGCGACCAATCAAGAGTTGCCACGTCCAAGACGGGCTTACTAACCTATATAAGGGCTGGGTTTCCGACTCGGGGTCTGCTTACTAACCTATATAAGGGCTGGGTTTCCGACATTCGGGGTCTTCGCCCTATAAGCTTATGCTCTCCCTCTCAAGATGCATTAAAGCTTTTCTGCAGAAGGATCCTGAGTGTGCCGCGTCGTTCTTGCTGGCGAGACGATAGCGCGGGACAGTTTGCATTATACACAGTAGCTTTTTGTTGTTGTTGTCTTTTGAGATGGGGTCTCCCTATAGCCCCAGCTGGCCTGGAACTCACTATGTAGATGAGGCTGGCCTCAATCTCACAGAGATCTGCTTGCCGATACCTCAGGAGTGCTTGGACCAATGACATTTGCCACCATGCCTGGCAACAGTAGCTTTTGGTGCAAGGTTGAGTAAAACTCATTAGCCCAAAAGTCATTCCTAGACGTGAGTGCTGGGATTACAGGATTGTGCCACCATGCCAAGTTTTATGTAGTACTGGGATGGATTCAAGGGCTTCCTAGGCAAGCACCCTGCCAACTGAGCTTCATCCCTAGTCGTGAGATAAAACTTCTATATACTGTTTTTTAAAAAGCTCTGAGGTGTATTTTCTTAGAATAATTTTTTGAAGGTCTCACTATGTAGCCCAAACTTCCTTGAACTCTTTTCTGGTTTTGTTTGTTTAAGACAGAATTTCTAAATGTAGCCTTGGCTTGCCTACAACTTAGACCAAGCTGGACTCAAACTTGCAGTTACCATAGTGCCTCTGTTCCCCAGGTGCTGGAATTGTAGGTAACACACCACCATGCCTGGCCTGACTTGCTTCATCCTCCCAAGTCCTGGGTTTACAAACATGTACTGTTATGCCTGCTTCAGAATAATTTTATTTTAAATAGTACCTTTTATCTTAAGAAATCAGGTAGATTGTTTTCCTTACCAATCCACCCTTCAGATTTCTTAGTGGACTGAGGTGGCATCTCTTTTTTTTCTTTAGAAGCCTGGAGTCCAGGATTAGTTACAGCTTACCAGTTACTATCCTGATCAATGACTTTTATACATCTAATTTTTGGTAGACTGTTACATACCATTTAAAATCCCTGATGTCAGAATAATAAGGAAAAACTGGAGAGGTTTCAAAATTAAACAAACTTGATCAAAAGGTTGAAAAGTTACAGAAATATTTAGTCTGTAGAAGAGATGGCTGAAAGGTGTTTAGAAAACTCAGTTCAAGTAGATGAACAGAAGAGTCAAAGGATATTGAACAGATGTCCGAGTCCCTGTGAGGCTCATGCAGCAGTTTTGTTCAAGGTCACTGTGTGGAGCAAGGGAACACAGTCAAGGAGACTCAGTGCTAGGGATCAGAGCAATCATCAACAAAGGGAGGGTTGTACTTGGAAGATGGTTCAGAGCTCAAAGGCAGTGGTTTATTGAAGGATACTCAGCCAGATGGACATGCAGCTGAGCAACCAGGGATGACCAGTGAAGGTCAGTCAGTGTCAGATCCTACATCCTTCTGTACATACTCTAACTTTGGACCCTGAACAGGCTCTGTCTGAGTTCCATTCTCCACCAGGCATGCTACATGGGGCAAAACCTTAACTTGGAAGTGGGTCTGTAGCCTGGTGGTAGAGTATTAGCCTAGTATGTGTGAGGCCCTGGGTTCCATTCCCGGCACAGCAAACAAACAAATATCTTCTGACTTACAAAAGCCAAATTGTCATTTTTTTATATCTCCTTGGCACTGGTGGGGTACTCATTGTTCAGTCATTCCCTTATAAATAAATACTCCAACCCTAGCAACAAATCCAAGACTCATCTGGCTTTAACATTTTAATTGGTTCCATATTTTACACACATATGACATCATTGTCACATAAAGGAGACTCTTGCAATAGACTTTCCAAGACTCTCCTGGAACACAATTCATCTTACAACACTTCTTAGAAATCTCTTGGACACAGGGATTGGAGGAAGCAGGACCACCAGAGCCAAATCTGAGTAAATGCTGTAAAAAACTGTCAGGCTGCATGTATAGTCTGGGGAGGGGTGTGACTGGCTACAGGTGGCACTTGTCAGAGCACACAGTGAGAGGAGTGTTGCCCATCACAGAGTGTCAGAGGATAGTCATGGGTACCCTCTATTTAGACAGTCAAGCAAACAGGCATTGTCTGTCAGCAAGGGAATCAACAAGGCTGGCATTCCCAGATGGGGCACTTGTCCTTGAAATGGAATGTTGTATTAGAGTTTCCCAGAGAACCAGAAGAATGTGTGTACATGTATAGAGATAGACCAGGGTGTGTATGGGGGAGGGCTGGTGTTGATTTTAGGGAATTGGCTCACACACTTGCAGGGCCTGGAGAATTCAAAACCTGTGTGTTTGAAACTGACGCAAGAGGATCACTCTAAGTTTGAAGGCAGTCTGGGCTACATGAAACCCGAGAGAGAGAGAGAGAGAGAGAGAGAGAGAGAGAGAGAGATCTTCACAGAAACAATCAGATATGTTTGGGCAAAGCTCTGATTTCTGTGGCCTCAATGAGTTAATGTGAGATTCACTATCACAGTTGGTAGTTAGTGGATAGTAAGCATAAGACTAAAAAGTCAGAAGGCACAAGCATACATCACTCATTTGTTGGGGCATAAGGAGATACTGGAGCTCTGGAAAAGCAAAAATCAATTTGTCATGACTGAAGGAGACCACAGTGTGGCTTGACACTGTGCTTCCTCATTCATCTCACTGTATATAGATATAGACAGGTAGACATAGATAGAGATATGTGCCCTATTGTGTATCAATCAGTATGCTAAGTCTTGGGGAGCAGAGATGAAAAGCATTCCCAGTACACAGTTGATCAGAGGACACAATCACACAATTACTACCATGCAGTAATACTGACTTTGATCAAGAAATGTCCAAGGGCATGGAGCTGGAGAGATGGCTCAGCAGTTAAGAGCACTGGATGCTCTTGAAGAGAACCTGGGTTTGGTTCCCAATACCCACATGGTGACTAACAACCATCCCTAACTCCAGTTCCAGGGAATCTGGTGCCCTCTTCTGGTTTCCAAAGGTATTGCACAACACAAGTGCACTTATAAACAGGTAGGGAAAACACTCATACACATAAAAATAAAAATAAACAAAGAATACTTTAAAAAAGAAATATTCAAGGGCAAAAGGAGCCCAAGGAAGTGAAATCCAGCAGACATCACTGAGTGCTGAGTGGAGATTTCTCACCTTACCCTTCCTAGCTGGGCCTAATGCCTGGACTGCAGGCTCACCAGTAGGGAGAACTCAAGGTGACTATGGAAAGTTAGTAATGGGCTCTGAATAGAGGTAAGTGAGTGACTTGGCAGTCTCCCTCAGATGCTGGACAGATCAGGAAACAACAGCCTTAACTTACATCGATTTTAGATTTGGTCTAGTAGAAAAATTTCTATCTGTGTAAGTTTTTCATCCATGATCATACCATGGTAAGTATATATATGAGATAATGTATAGCATCACCTCTGGACTAATGGGGTCGCTACAGAAGAGCATGGTGGGTTGGCAAGGTGGCTCACTGGGTAAATGTGCTTGCTGAGCAAACCAGATGACCTGAATTTGAGTCCTGCAAATCACAAAAAGGAGATAACCAAGTCCCAAAAGGCCAGAGGACACTCCTGCCTGTGTGTGCCTGTGTGTATGCACACATGTGTGTGGGTGCCTGAAGAGGCCAGAGGAGGGTGTCAGATCCCCTGGAGCTAGAGTTACAGGTATTTTTGAGCCACTTGAGATGGGTGCTTGGAACTGAACTCAGGCCCTCTGAAAGAGTAGTAAGCACTCTTAACTACTGAGCCATCTCTCCAGCTCCCAAATTAAAAAACCAAAAACAAAGCACAAATGAGCTGTGATCTTGTGCTTACTGGTAAGAAAGGAAGCCTCACTTTTGTTTTTAACCTCCATAGAAGTTAAGGTAGAAGGAAAGAAAAATGGCTAAATGCAAACAGAATTAACATCTAAAAATATGTTAGAAAGATAGCTGTAGTACTTTCTCAGGGTTGTCATAAAAAGTGCCATAACTGGGTGACTTAAAACAGTGGAAAGCCTGTATGAAATTCTCAATAAAGTTTTTGTTAAAGTTTAAAAAAAAGAAATTTTGCTGGGTGTGGTGATGCATGCCTTTAATCCCAGCACTTGGGAGGCAGAGGCAGGCGGATCTTTGTGAGTTCGAGGCCAGCATGGTCTACATGTGAGTTCCAGGACAGCTGGAGCTACAAGGAGACCCTGTCCCAAAAAAGACAAAAAAAAAAAAAAAAAAAAAAAAAAAAAAAAAAAAAAAAAAGCCAGGTATGGTGGCACACGCCTTTAATCCCAGCACTCAGGAGACAGAGGCCAGTGAATGTCTGTGAGATCAAGGCCAGCCTGGTGTATATACCAGACTAGCTAG